CGGACTGCGCTGCCCCGTACACCGCCACCAAAGCCCAGTCAAAACCATCCTGTTTGGACCGCACCCTGAACTTAACAGCAAAATCCCCCATGACCACACTTCGAACTTCAAGAGAGTCACATCTAACACCCAGTAAGATACCCCCCGACCTACCTCTAGGCGGTAGACAATGCCAGTCAAACTCAATCCCTCCCGACAAAGTATTGAGAAATTGAGGTGAGAAATTTGCTCTACCCGTTTCCGACAGGGCAATAAAGTCCAAACAATGCTCAATAGATGCCTCCGCAAGGAACCTCCTTTTAGCCAAGTCCTTAAGACCTCTGCTATTCCAAAAGATCCCTTTCATATTTCATCATGAAATTTTTTAGCCGTACGAATCCTAGCACTCCTACGGACTACAGACATCGGGTAAGTTTTGCGCTTCCACTTGCGCTTAGGGCTGGACGTGCCCTCCCGGTCCATCGTACTCGTAATCGATGGATTATCTACTTGCGTCCCGATATTCTCATCGTCCTCCTCCTGCTCCTGGAGGGGCGGTGCTAGATCATCACAAAAGTTCTCAAGTACTCGAACTCCCAAGGCATCAATTTCAGAGTCATTCATAGGTTTGACCGCAGCTAATTTACGAATTACTTCTAAAGCCCTCTCGGCTTCTAGATCAAGCAAATCGTTAACAGAATTAGTAACTTCACCCTCATCTCTACCAAGTGAAATTCCTAACTGTTGTGCCTTATCCATAATTTGATCATGCGAGAAATGCAAAATAGTATTGGAGGTATTAACAGACATACCAGTAGTGACTTGGACGTCACGAAGCTTGGCCGCCCTCGCGGCACAGCGCTGCTGCATGTCGTCCACCTCCGGATGGCTCTGAAGCCGACAACTCATACGTCGACCCTCAGCTGCCTGGTCCGGGATCCCGCCAAACATAATGACCTCCTCCCGCGAGAATTTATCCGGCGAGCGACCACCTGTCACTCCCCGAACATCCACCCGGTCGCCACCAGGTGAGCGCGGTGAGCGCGCCGAGTCCAGCACTGGGGAGGAGAAGGCCACCTGCCCCCTCCCCCCATCCACCCCGGACCGCCTGTCCGGAGTGCACGTCGCCATCTCGAATATGGCGCCCCCCTCGGGCACTGAGGCTTACGGGGGCGTAGAGGCCACCGGCCCCACGCCCTCCCGCCGAACCTGCGCATCCGCCAGAGGTGATCGCCCAGCCACAGGCGAGCGAGGAGAAGGCTCCCCAACCGGAGGATGAGAGGGGGCCTCCAAAGAATCCCGATCCGGACTCCCAGATGAGGTCAGACCACCCGCCTGCACCACAGCCACGTCACCACACGCTGATGTAGACGAGACAATATCCAAGCTCTCGGGCCCACCGGAATCCTCCACCTCCGTACCCGCAAAATCCAACGGCGGTAAAGAAAACTCAATCTCCTCACCCGACTCCACCCGCTCGCTCCACAGTCTCGGAGGAGCGGAAGCTGGACCAAAGGAACCAAAACGCAGAGTGGTGGTCGGCACAGATACTCCAGGCGCCGTCCCTCCTCCTGCTGCCCTACCCGTCGGCTCCGGCCTCTTGGCCACCTCACTAACAGAATCATCGGCCATCTTTTCCTTACCCGCAGTATCATCATCACCTTCACTCATGTCATCACCAGTGGCCGCTGGAGCCTCTGCGAAGAGACTATCATCCTCAAACTGAATCTCAAGAGTGTAAACCTTCCCTCGAAAGGCCCACTTAACCATGTCGGGTACATAGTCGATGTCCAGAATATTGACCAATAGGCGAGCTATCCCATGAGCTCTAGTGAAATCCATATCAACTCGCTCGGTCTTACCAACCATAATACCGAGACTAGCCACCACCGTGGCATCCCGCAGCAACTCAGACGGAGCCCCCGAAAAGCGCAACCAGGCCTGGATAAGGGGTGTACCCTGGGGCTCAACCAGCTTCCACTCGTGGAACTCAAGAATGGCCTCAGTACCCAAGACCTTACACATCCCAAAACTCAGCAACCGCTGTATATCCTCCACAGATGGGAACTGAACTCTGAAAGTGTTGGTCTCCAGCCTGACAAGCTCCCAATGGAAGTCACCTGGTGCCAGCTCCCTGAGACGCTGAATGATCTGAGCCTCGGACACTTGCCCTCTCGTCACTTTCACTATCCCAGTTGTCGTACTGTGCTCCTCCTGAGGAACCTCCCTCTCAGTCGGTGACTCAAAAAAAGTGAGTTCAGAACAAAAAACACCATAAGTCATGAGGCTCGGTCTCTGCTCCCGCACCAGCGGACACACTCCAGATTCATGTGCAGGCTTACCACAAGAATCACAAAGAGCCGCCACACACTCAGCAATGAAATGTCCCTTATCGCCACATCTATAACAGAGCATTCTCTCTTTTTTCTTAGCAAACTTAGCAGCCCTGTCAACCTCGGATCTGTCAGAGCCATCCGCCGACATAGCCTGAGTCTCGGCGTCGACCGGAACCTCCACAGCGGCCAGTTCCGTCACAACCTCCATCGCCTGGCAACCCAAGTCAGACTCCTCAGCACTGGCATCGACGACCGTCTCAACTGTAGTTTGATGTTGTCTTGGACGGTACCGACCCCCTCGGCCTCCTCGTCCACGATAGCCGCGAAACCCGCCTCTGTTACGATTAGCTGGCCCAGTCGCCCCTTCGACAAAACCACCAGACGGCCCCAAGAAAGGCCGTTCAGCCGAACCATCACTCTGCCAGGCATATCCCCGTCCGCCACCCGTAGACGAGGATCCCCGGTGCTGTCCCTCACCAAATGCATTGTAACCATCGTCACCCCACTGTCCTCGAGGTGCCGCTCGAACATCCGCCCTAGCCTGAACCGGAGGTGGCTTAGCCTGCTGCAACACTGGCGTCGCCGCATCGCTGACCTGCCTAGCCACAAATAGCGGCGGTCTAGCTCCCACCTGCACCACAGGAGGCTGGGCATGGGCACCCAGAGACGGCCGAGCGAGAACACCGCGGCCCGCAGCAACTCCAGTCGTCGGCGGCCTAGGAGCACCACGGCCCGCCGCCGTCACCGGCGCAGTCGGCCGGACCGCCGCGACGCCGCGGCCCGTAGGCTTGGCGACGGCAACCGCAGCACGCTGGTCGCCGGCAGCACGCCCTGCAGCATGGTCCGCTCTGGGTGGAGGCGCGCCACCACGCCCAGCCACCAGCGGCACGCCGGCGCCGCCGCCACCATTGCCCGCATGGGTGCCGCTGCCGCTGCGACCAGCGGCCGTTGCCTGCGCCAGTCCTCCGCGGCCCGCCGCTGCCGGAGGAGCCCCAGCGGCCGCGCCCGGAAGAGACCCCCGTCCCGCCATCAGACGAAGGGTAGGTATACGAGCAGCCCTCCCTCCGCCGCGATCGAGAAAACAAGGACGTCCGCCTCTGTGTCGAACCCTATGTCGAAACGATCTCGTGCATGGGGTTGTAGACTTGGGCTGCATAACAGGCTGGGCCTCATACCCATCGGTCTGTAACCCAACGTCAACATTGGCCGGTTCACTCAGAACCGGCCCACCCACCAGCTGACCGAACTCACAGCCCAGCAATCCGTTCAAACGAGCGATCCTATGATCGCGGATCTGAGCGCATCGGTCGATCGCCGGCGCCGGCACCGTGGCCGCCGACGACCGCCGAGCCTTCTTTCTCCTTACTATCTTCCATGAATTGTGAGTGATGAAATCGGAAAGAACAGGTTTAGGAAGACACACCTTCGGAATCGGTCCCTTCCATGGCCTGACCGCCGATGCCGCATTCCTCCGATGAACTACACGTCGCACCAGCTCCTTCCTCTCGTCCGGATGTAGCCCCACCCGCGCCGGATCCTCCACCGGCACTACCGTGTCTACGGTCTTGGCCACATCATCTTCATCATATCCTGCATGAAAAAGATCGCCTATCAAATCCGAAGGTGTAGGCGAGTGCGGCGAACCTTCTGAGCCTTCGTTGTCTCCGGCGTCATCCTCGTCGTCCGCCTCCAACAGAGCCCAAAAACGGCCCCCGATGCTTGCCCGCGCAGCCGCCGCGGAGGGACACGGCGCGGCAGCGGCCTCCGCGGTCCCCCGGGGATTCGCTCTAGGAGTCACCCGGGGAGTCGCCCCAGCCATCCTGTCCTCACCCTACCATACACATAACCGAAGCTTTCCCCAGCCAAATATTTATTGTGGATCAAATCAATTTTACTCCCAGATGCAGAGGCCGGGGGTCATCCTCCTTTTCTAAAAAAAAATCAATTTTACTCGTTTAGTCAAGCTTTCAGCTCTGACCTCTGATGATAGGAGCCACAGATAAAACATGCGGTGCAGGTGTTACAAGGGATTTCCTACATGTGCGTCAGCTACTACTATAGTGTGAAAAGTATAATATGCTTGATACACCCAAACTACAGGCAGCCTAGCGCGAAATCCACCCCCAAATCGAGGCAATCTACCGGGCGAGCGAGCCAAAACAGGGCGCATCGATCGGAGGGGGAGCTCGGACGTACCCTGCCTCCCTGGGCAGGAGGAGCTGGTCGGAGAAGGCGGAGCGCGAGGAGTAGGAGGAGGAGGAGTTGGCGGCGTTTGTGCCGTGTTTCTTCTGCAGCTGTGGCTGTGTGTGTCTACGATTTGGGCATCATCTTGGTCGTCTACGATTTCCTAAACACACAGGCTTGGCGGTACAATGCGATTTCAGTGTCATCTGCGGTGTTGATTGATTGTCCCACACACAAGATTTAAGTTTTGATTACACCCAATTAATCCAGCGTGCAAGTAACTCACGAGATGCGCCTCGCTTCAGTTTGATCACAATACAACGTTCCAAAATACTCCTATATCCAATCCTCCAAACTAAACTAAACGGCCACTGAGCCTGCCTAACAGTAGCCAAAAACAGATCACACACTTACCTTAAACCAGAGTGCAGTGCAGTGCAGTGCGTTTCACATAAGTAATTAAAACGCAGATAAAACGTACGAGAGTATCATCGATCTCCATCACACAATGATTAAGTTCAGAAAAGAAAACGATAGTAGTACCACTGAAGAGCACTGCATTGCACTATTAAGTTTTTTGGCAGATGGTGTGGCTATTAAGTAGTTTCTGCAGTTTCCTTCTTCTTCAGCTCCATCACAGAGAACATAACTTTGCCCCTTGTCCTTCACGCTTCTCCTCCCACTGATAGCTCCATGAACAAGTACTTGTCGTGGCCTTTCACCGTTTGCCCATATTATCAACTCTAAGAGGAAAATTACAAGAACGTAAGCCACAACATGGGTGTCCAATCCAATGCATGTTAGTTACAGCAGGAAAACACATGAGTTTTTTAGAGCTAAATTATACTGCACTTAAGAACTTGTATGCTTGCACTCTGTAGCCAATGGACATCTACCAGTTTTGGAATGTATACAAAGTTCTGCTCACGCATTTTTGTTCCATAAGCTTAAAATTCAATTTTCAGAACATGAATCATGGCTGCTAAAAGAATCGAAGACACAAACACTAAATATTGAATCAGTATGTGTTGTTCAAATATACCTTGTGCCGTCTAACTGGTCCATGTGTAGATATCCAGGTCTTCGCCATGAAGTCGCTGGTGCTCCTCTTGAAGCCTAGGCACCCAGCGGGAAGAGACCTCTTGCATATCCTCACCCAGCAACAGCCGCTGCAAACTGCCCAACCCCTCTACATGGCTTAAGTTTGGACAACCAGATACACGCAGCTCTGTCACTTGAGGGAGGTTGCAGATCCTCTCAAGGCCTTCACAATACCCAATAGCAAGGACCTCAGAGAGCATTGGGCGGTCCTCCACAGCCTTCAAGTTGCTTCGTCCACTTAAACTGAGCTCCTTCAAACAGGCGGTATCCTTTCCAAGCTGTTGCGGGAGATCCCTCAGCTTCGGGCAACCGTGAAGTTGCAATTTCAACAAATGGGGCAACAGTCGCACCCTTGCAGGTTGGGCATCCACTTTTCGAATCTCAGCAGCTCCATCCTCTCCCCTTACATCAGCAGCAGCAACTTCTTCCTCAAAAAAAGACCACTCCTCCCAATTGGGCATATCTGCGAAGATCAACCATTCAAGTTTTGGGAAAGCAACCAACTCATCACATACAGGATCACCCTTCTTGCAACCAACAAATTCAGGTCCTACCTTGGTAACTGCATGTGCTCCTTCAATTCTCAGAAATTTCAAGTTTGGTAGCTGCCCGATCGGTGGAAGATGCACACATGATCGTACACCTATGAAGACCAAGGACATTAATGAAGACAAACAGGTGGCACCAAACCAGGTGGGATACTGCTGACCAAGGAAATGTAAAATACACATGACTTCCAGGTTGTGCGGAGGTATTAGCTGCTCAAAGACCTTCTCAGTATTACTAACATCTTCTTTTGAATATGACCCCTCTCCATGTTCCGTCCACTCTAGTATTAGTTTTTGTAGATGCCTTTTGTCTGTAAGCACTGCATTTCTACTGCAGTGAGCTGCTCTTTCCAATTTAACAAGACAAAGATACCTCATCTGCGATAAAGAAGACAACTCTTCCAACTTCCATCCATCTTGTATAACAGCATTATCACTTCCATCACCAACAGGATAATCTCCAAAACAAGTGAGGAGCTTCAATTTTCCAATCCCTTTTGGAACCTGATTTATTTTTGTGCCAAGAAGATCAAGACATCTTAAACTGCTCAACAGGGTCATTGCCGAAGGAAGAGTGTGCAGATCATCGCACCATCTCAAGCTCAGTACTTGAAGGTTCTTTAGGGAGCCAATGGATTTCGGAAGACAAGATATGCGAGTGTAATCTAGATTAAGTAGGCGTAGATGTATCAGTTTTCCTATATAGTTTGGAATGCTTTGCACAAGTGAGCAGTTCAATACTAAAACACGAAGGAGCAGAAATCTCTTGAACAATGCATCCTCGATGCTCTGCGGACCATTGACAGTTAGGAAAGTTCTCACCTTAACTTCCACCTTATTCATACTAGGTAAGACTAATTTATCCTTGTAATTGATAGCAGTAACACGTCGCAGCTTTGACATATATTCACCCCTTAATGTTTCAACATCTCCAATAAAACATTCTTCTCTTGATATATTACAAGCAAGTTGTCTTAAGAGGTCATGCATTTTGCATCTAGCCTGGCTAAAACTTAAAATATCTGGCTGGAGGAGATTCCGATGTATTAGCTCGTAGTAGTACTCTTCTGCTATGTCTTCTAGTAGTTGGCCTTGCTGCTCCTCAATGAAGCCTTCAGCAATCCATAACCAGGTAACTTTATCACGTTCAATGATAGAATCTTCAGCATACAGAGCACAATAAAGGAAACACTGCTTAAGACGATGTGGTAACTCATCATAGCTTAGATACAGAGATCCTTGGATATCATCTGAGATCATGCTGTGGGAGCCAACATATTTGCCCAAATACTTTCTCCACTCATTCTCCGTTAGATCTCTGCTTGCCAATGCACTAGCGGTAACCTTGATTGCAAGAGGGAGGCGGCCGCATTTCTGAACAATTCCAATTCCTATGTTTCTCAAATTCTGCACTTCTTTCTCTTCATCAATGTTCATGCTCTTCCAAAGTAGCTCCCATCCCACCTCTACTGACATGAGATCAACTTGGTGGGTATGGTATACACCTATTTTCTTTGTAATTTGATCATCTCGTGTGGTTACCAATATTACTCCAGCAGTCGTTTCATGAAATGCAGGTCTTAATAAATCTGTCCATACATTGGAGTGCCACACATCATCTAGAACCAGAAAGAAACTCTTCCCTTCAATTGTTTCTGCAAGCTTCCTCTGCAGCTCTGTTATGGTTTCACCTTGCTCATGATGTACACCAATATTCCGGAGAACCTCTTTAAGAAGAGTTACTTCATTGTAGTCTTGTGATACACAAATCCATGCGTGCATCTTGAAGCATCCTTTTATTTTTTGGTCATTGTAGATTTTCTGAGCTAGGGTTGTCTTACCAACTCCTCCAGTTCCAACAATACCAAGTTTGTAAGACTTGTATTCCTTGTGTGCAAGAACTAAGTCCACTAACTTCCTGGTAGAATGTAGAATCTCCTTTCCCACAAGGTTGGGCTCAACAAGGTTGGAACTTCTTATCAGTTTTGATGTTCGGCCATTTCCAATAGGCTGTGTGCTATTATTGAAAGTTGAAAATATCTTGTCATTTGCAATGATCTCAATCTTTTTATTGAGGCTTCTAATCCGAACAGCAACATCATGGCGTGGCACTATGTTGCAAAAACAACAGGAAACTGAAAGGCCTTTACATGCAACTGATTTGCCTGATGATGGTGAAGGGTGGTCAGCAAGTAGCTTGCTTCCTTTACATCTAGCCACATCCAGGATTTCATCAACATCATATATAACATCTCTCAGTTGACCAAGCCAATTGTTTACTGCTTGCTCTTTTGTCCTCCTTTTCTCAGCATCGTATATACAACACTGAATTAGTTCCACTCGCCGCAACAGTTTTGTGAGCTCTTCTTCCACCCCTAGGATTAGTATGGCCTCATCTGTAATTACATCTTGCAACTTATTGACACTTGATTTAAGCAAAGTTTCAAGTATGGCAGCCATGGATCAGACAAACTCAGCGCCAGAGGTCCACCAAAAACACTAGGATATTCCTTGCGACTGGCAGAAACCGAAAGCTGAAAATGGATGCACAAGGTATGATAACATGCTTTGAAAGTAGGACAAGGCTCACGGAATTTATCACTAGTGGGCTGCCATTTACATTTTCAATAATTTAGCATAATATAACTGCAAATACAGCTTGAGTGGTAGCGCCAAGTATTAAGGTCTAAATTCTTAATCATCTGGCATTCTGTTCTTAGAACCAGTCTGCATAGTAGCCTCCACACCGAACTACTACTAAAAATGTTGCATTTAGTTACAACTTACACCATAGAGTGATGCGGATAAATCATCCAGATATTTATATTTGTTTATCTAATTCATCTTAACTCTAATTGGTTTCGTACATGCTAGCCTATCAATCATCATAATTTATTCCACTGTAGTCTTGAAACCAATGTCGCAAGCTCTGTAAAGTACGGTAGCAAGTTTTTACATTATAAACCTGCAGTCTTCTAGCCCATCGATAGTTTTAAAGATCTCACAAGGCTGAGTGCAAGCTAGAATCGCAATAGATAACAGAAAAATTATCAGTCAATTACCAGGGGGAAACCATGCTGCTACACCTGCAATGGATGATACAAGATTATTGACCAACTAGTGAACAAAACAAAGGAGTACCAGAAGTGCAGGTAACTAAACTGAATATACATGTGCATGGATACGGAGGGTAGATAAACTGAGAAGCTACAGACGGTCATTTCAATCAACCGGGATCAAGACAGAAACTTCATCTGCTTGCAGTTGCAGGAACAAACCAGTCAAGAGCAAAGGACAGCTAACTACCCTCCTCTGATTTCTTTTTGTGGCCACGCACCGCAGTCTACAAAGGCGGCCAGCTGGAATTGTCTTCTAAAAGAGGTTGGCAAGCTGCCTATTGGCTGTTTATTGTCATTGCTCTTTTAATTGACCAATAGCATTGGCGGTGCCAGTAATGAATAGACTAAGTTTGGCCCATATAAAGTATATTCATGAATTTAATTTGTGTGACCTTAACTACATTTTGGTGATAGTTTATTGACACTTACGCACGCCGCCGTAGAATTATAAGTTCATCTTTTTATTTTTATTTTGTGTGAGCAAACATGAATCGAGTTAGATCATGCCACAAATACGACAGTTCCGTTGAAACACAAGTATTGATCCCAAAAATTATTAAATGTAAGTCTTCAAAAATATAACAATTAAAAATAGAGGGATAATGTTTTATGTTATACAGGGAGCCAGTTGTGACTGAGGATACGTGCAGCAGTTTGCATAGAAAAAACTTTATTGAAATGTAGGGAAAGACTGCGTACTATAGACCCAAAGTGGTCGGACCCTTCCCTGGACCCTGCGCAAGCGGGAGCTACATGCACCAGGTTGCCCTTTTTTGAGGTCTAAATTCTTAATCATTTGGCATTCTTCCCTTTCAAAAATTTCGGTTGCCAATTTACATGGTTTGCTGGGTTTTTTTTTTGGTCAGTTAAAGGGCCATGAGATGGTGGCCTCCACACCAAACTACTACTCCCTCCGTCCCGGTGTATTGGGCATCTAACTAAAATAAAAATTTCCCAAAACGCTAAGGCGCCAAGCACTAATACTAGTTGCATGTGTAGTAATTAGACCCATCTCTTAATTACAGTGACCAATGCATGCCGTTTGCGTGGTGTGCTGATTGGGATTTGAAGCGACCATGGGCTGCATGCATTAGCCGAACCACCACGGCTTTAATCTCCCTAATTAATAGCACGTTTTCAGTTGGAAAAAGAGCAATGCGATTGGCTTGATCTACGGTTCAGTTCTCCTCGTAGCTCAATCTCTACATGCCTAGGTTGCGATGCACCTTCTTAGATGACTAATACACCTAGACAGAGGGAGTACTGAAAATGTTGCATTGAGTTACAACATACAGTTAGATACAGGTTGATCGACCAACTAATTATTTGTGGTTGTCAAATCCATCCTAACTCTAATCATCTTCCGACATGCTAGCCTATAAATCATCACAATTCATTCCACTGTAGTTATGAAACTAAGGTCCGAAGCTCTCTGAGGTACGGCAGCAAGTCTTACCTTAGAACCAGTCTTCCAGCCTATCGATAGTTTCAAGATCTCGTGAGGCAGAGCGCAAGCTATAAAGAAAACAGATAAAAGAAGATTATCAGCCAATCACCAGGAGAAAACCATGCTGCTACACTGCAATAGATGATACAAGATTATCGACCAACTAGTGAACAAAACAGGTAACTAAACTGAATATATATACCTTAATGTAAAAAAGAAACTGAATATATCTACCTGAATAAAGGATTACTTCAATCAACAGTGATCAAGATGAAACTTCCTCTGCTTGCAGTTGCAGAAGAAGGGAATGAACCATGCTGCTACACCTGCAATAGATGATACAAGATTATCGACCAACGAGTGGACAAGACAGGTAACTAAACTGAAAAAGTTCTGATTGTCAAAAAAAAACTGAATATATATACCTGAATACAGGATTACTTCAATCAACAATGATCAAGATGAAACTCCTTTGCTTGCAGTTGCAGAAGAAGGGAATGAAGAAAATCTTCAGATTTCTGAGATTTCGTGGTGCCTTGCCTGTGTGGATAGCAGAAGCATACTAGAGCCCAGCAAGAGCAAAGGATACTCGCTAGCTGGAATACGCCGACAGATGATAATTATAAGTAAGTATCTTGGCCCTCCTCTGCTTGCGCTTGTGGCCACACAACACGGTCTTTAAATGCGCCAGCTGGAATAGTCTTCTAAAAGAGATTGGTGAGCTGCCCACTGGCTGCTTATTGTCATTGATATTTTATCGACTAGTAGCATTCGTCGGTGCCGTTGAATTGATTAAGTGTGGGTCAATATAAATTATATTCATGAATTAATTCGTGTGGCCTGTACTGTATTTCGACGATAATTCTTTGAGACTTATGGAGGCCACTGTTAAATTCTGAGTGCATGTTTTCAAAAAAAATTTGTCAGCACACATGAATCAGGTTAGGTCAGTCCATAAATAAGAACAATTCTTTTTAGTGAGGCAATTTTTTTTGTTGAAATGCAAGTATTAATCCCTAACCAATTTAACGCATTTAAATACAACAATTAGAAATAGAGGGATATTGTTTTGTGAGTATCTTGGCCCTCCTCTGCTTGCGTTTGTGGCCACGCAGCATGGTCTTTAAAGGCGGCCAGCTGGAATAGTCTTCTGAAAGAGATTGGCAAGCTGCCCACTGGTTGCTTATTGTCATTGATGTTTTAGTGACCACCGGTAGCAATTGTTGGTGCCAATGATGAATAGATTAAGTTTGGACCAATATAAATTATATTCACGAATTAATACGTGTGACCTGCTCTATATTTTGGTGATAATTTATTGACATTTATGAATGCCGCCGTTAAATTCTAAGTGCAAGTTTTATTATATTATTGTGTGTCAGCAAACATGAATCCGGTTAGCTCATGCCACAAATAGGCAACAGTTTGTTTGAAACCAAAGTATTGATCCCAGAACCAATTAAATGCAAGTGTTTTTGAACAAAACAATTAAAAACAGAGGAATGATGTTTTGAGTAATACAGGAGCCAGCTGCGAGGACATATCCAGCAGTTTGCATAGAAACTGTAGTGCAACAATACCACCTCTATTTCTAAACGTAAGACGTTTTTCCAGTTTAAATTGAACTGCAAAAACATCTTATATTTAGGAACAGAGGGTGTACATTTGCAGGCAAACAGTCTAATTAATCTTCCATGCAAAAAAAAGGGTTAATAAATCTAATATAATCATTTCCTTCCTACTAAACGGACATCCTGCATTTGTACTCAACTAAGATGCGTATAAGATGCATCCATCTGCATCACAGCAGACACTTAATTGAGTTCAGAAAAGATAGTACTGAAGAGCATCATTGCATTTGCAGAGAACAGAGATTGTGTCTTTCTGAGAGCTCACGCTTCTCCCTGGACAAGATAGCTGCTTCAGAACGTACTTGGGCGCCTCCGTCGTCGTCAAAGGCCTCCCCTTGCTCAAGTTCAAGAGCTCTGGCGCAGGATTTTGCTCCTGGAGCTCAGCAACAGCAACCTTCGCCGCACCGCACATGTTCGTGCCGTGTTTATTCTGCAGCCGTGTCAGGTCGGCATCATCTTCGTGGTCCATCAGACGCCTACGATTTCCTTCACCATTTTACACACACAGGTTTGGCGATACATACAGGTTACACACGTTCTGTGCGGCGAACCCCCAAACAAAGAATGAAAATCATGGAGGTTACATACAAAGAATGAAACCGTGTCACGCACGTAGGTACAGTGTGCAGCAGATAAATAAATTTTCACGCATACGCATACACAATTACACATAAACACCATCGGTCGGCTTGGGGCGATGGCGGGCTTTGCTCAGTGTGCTCAGACAGTTGCAAACTGAACCGTGTCCTCTGAAAATAAAACCTGTGTTGATTGTAGTCCATCCATGAGTGCAGTAACCTTATTAGTCTCACACACAAGATTTAAGTTTTGATTACATCTAATCCATGCAGCATGGGAGTAAAAAAATACTAGACACACGAGATGCACCTCGCTTCAGTTTGATTACATACAACGGTGCATTAACCAAATACTATATCCAGTTCCTCCCAACTAAACTAAACGGCCACTGAGCCTGCCAAAAACAGATCAGCCACTTAGCTTAAACCAGAGTGCAGTGCAGTGGAGTACGTTTCCGTAAGTAATTAAAACGCCGATAAAACGTCAATAGAGTATCATCGATCTTCATCACACAATAATTTAGTTCAGAAAGAAAAAGATAGTAGTACCACTGAAGAGCATTGCACTAGTAAGTAGTTTCTGCAGTTTCCTTGTTTTCTTGTGTAGCTCCATTGCAGGGAAACAGAGCTTGCCCCTTTTACTTCACCCTCATCCGGTCATCCCATGTGTTCTTTTTTAGAAATG